AAAACTCAGATTTAACTGGCTATATTTCACTGGGCAACCCTGCAATCTGGGCTCTCCCTTTGTTTGAAGCATCCTCAGACCCTTCAAAGAGAGAGTAGACTCGTTCTGTGTGAATGCAGGTAGAACTCACACCCCCTGGCATCGTCCCCCAGAACGGAGATTTTCCAGCTCCATATAACATCAGTCTCATGAGCAGCTTCCAGCAGTCAGAGCTGTCCCAGGAGGCAGAGAGGCCTCTCACCGTGGAACAGTTCTCTCCCCACTGCAAATTCCCAGGAACAGGGAGCTCCCCTGGCCTTTGTCAGCTGGGCAGAGCTCATCTGTTAGAGGACTCTGTGTGCTGGAATCTTCGCTTTTTTCTCATCTCTGGTTGGGACCAGAGGAAAGCAGTTATTTTGGAGAGTGTGTCATCCTTGTAAAACTAAACTTGCCCATGCAAGGGAGTGGGGAGGGGGCTCTCTCAAGTTCCAAACTCGGGTCATGGGGAGGCAAAAGTGTTGGCAAATCCTAGCCATGTAGCTAAGTCACATGATCCTTTAACCAAGCTTAATAATGAGAAACAGACTTAGTTGCATGTGACAGAAAACTTCAAATAATTGTGATTAAAACAATATTTTGTTTCTTTCACATACAAAGGATGTCCATAAATAAGTCAGATAATGTAGGGCTGATACGGGGACTCCACAGGGCCATCAGACCCCGGCCTTTCTCTCCACTATCTGAAATGCAGGCTTTCATCTTGACAGTCACCTCACAGGCCAAGATGGCTGCTGGAGTTCCAGCCATTGCCTCCACATTCCATACTGCAGCAGGAAAGACAGAAGTAGTACCCATCCCAGCTAAGTCAGTTCGTCTTGTACAATCGTCTTGGAAGTCTGACACAACATTTTAGTTTACATCTTGTTGACTAACACTTGGCAACCACTTCTAACTGCAAGGGAGGCTGGACGATGTAGTCTTTTGATAGAGTACATAATCTGAAATAATACTTTGTTAAGGAGAAAGAGAGAAGGAATGTCACATGACCAGAAACAGTCTCTGCGATAAGTAACAGAAGGTGCCATTTTGATCACTCAGCTGACTTCGGAGTTCTCAACTGCTTCTATTGTCTTGGATGGAGCAAGGTGGTTTTTTTGTTTGTTTGTTTTTGTTTTTGTTTTTTAATTGAGACAGAGTCTCACTCTGTCGCCCAGGCTGGAGTGCAGTGGTGTCATCTCAGCTCACTGCCAACCTCTGCTGCCCGGGTTCAAGCGATTCCTATGCCTCAGCCTCCTGAGTAGCTGGGATTACAGGCACCCACCACCATGACTGGTTGATTTTTTGTATTTTTAGTAGAGACTGGGTTTCGCTGTGTTGGCCAGGCTGTTCTCGAACTCCTGACCTCAGGTGTTCCGCCTGCCTCAGCTTCCCAAAGTGCTGGGATTACAGGTGTGGGACACCGCGCCTGGCGAAGGTGGGGTTTTATATCAGTTCCCTGAATACACAGGAGTTCAAGCAGATAAGCTCCTCCCTCTGGCCCGGGAAGGGAGTCCTGCTGTTGCACATGGCCAGCAGTTTTCTAACCCTTTCTCCTAACAAAATCTTACCAGTATGAAGAACTGATGAAATTGGAGCTGCTCCAGCTAAGACCATCCTCTGGATCTTCCCCAGGACGCCTCCTGTGCTGAGCCCTGGCAAACCCCCAGTTTGTAAGGAACGGAGTTGGGAAACCACTAAACCAGCCAACCTTGGAAACCCCTTCCTCTTCTGAGGTCCTGCTACTCTCAGGGTTGGTGACCACCACAAGGTCCCTCTCTCCAACGTGACCTCATCAGCTTTCTTGAAGATTCTATCATGGAGTGCTCTGCTTAGAGTTAGGGGCTCCCTTAAGGATCAGCTTTGGATTTGGGAATTCACTGTTGCCGAACTGACTGTCATTAAAAGGATAAGACTCCAGGAGAGCTCAGGGCTCCCTCCCCTCACCCAGAGTCTGGGTCAAGGCCAGGCCAAGCCGAGCACAGCACTGGAGGTGGGGTGGTATCTGGTGTCTCTTCCTACTGTGAGAAGGGAAAGGACTTGGAGACACAGTGTCAGCCAAGGCCCCTACTCATTCACATCTCCTTCCTGCCCTCTGGGCAGCCCCTATCTCCATGGCTTCCTCCAGCCTGAGAGAAGGTGGCCTCCCCCAACCCCACCCTCTTGGAAACCAGCTAGGAAGAGGACGAAGACTGGTATGTCCCTTTGTGTCTGCTCCTGAATGGTGTATTTTGGCTCCTACCTAATGCAGCCCTTGGGTGGTGGTCTAAGCCCTCATGGGTGGTTACGGCTGTCTTCGTCACTTTCCCTTGACCCTGGGCATCTCAATAGGCTGGTGAAAGAGGTTTATGGAGAAAGGACTTGGGAATCCTGGAGCCTTGGCCATCTCTAATCTTTTCACCAGAAAAGACTCAGCAGGACGACCAGAGAAGAATGACTTCCTCCCACACACACACATTTCAGGAGAGCTCATCATTGAGGGGTGTGGCCGCCTCCCCAGGGAGAGCCCCTCCTTCCCTTCTCACTTGGCTGCTGCCTTGTCTCTGGGCACCTGTGTGTCCTCAGGTCTGGGCGCACCACATGCAGCAGGTGCTTCATGCATACTGGGTGAGCCGAGGCCTGGAAGGGGTGATGGTTGGGGCCACAGTGAGTAGTGCATTTGCCATGAATGACAGACGCCCACGAAGGAATAAAAAATTGCTTTCAAAAAGATGCTTGTGTCTGCCTGACTTATTTATATGTTTATTCATTTATCATTTACATTCTGTCTACCTCTTGGAAAGGATTTGGGAAGTGTTACAATATTGAAACACATAGAAAAGAAGCCAAAAAAAAAAAAAACCCTACACAAAATAAAGATCATATAAAAGAAACGAGAAAGAATATATACGTATAGACTACTTGTGCTGAAGTCGTTTCTGCCTCTGAGCTATTAATTTAGCTCCGAGGTGCCTGGAGGTAAAGCAGGAAGGGAAACATAGTCACCTGGGCTGCTCAGCTCACCAGGTCGAGGGGAAATGACACTCACTCTCCCTCACCCCTTCTCTCCCTCACCTCTTCTATCCCTCACTCTGCCTCGTGGTGTCCACACGTGCAACCTTCTCTCTCGCTTCATGGATAATGGTGAGGATCATAGCTTGGTCCACTCTTCAGCAGACATTAAATGCTCAGTTCTCAGCTGTTGTCACCATCAGCTAGGGGCACGTGTGACTGGTAATAGTTTGCATATCAAAGTATATGAATTTATTTGCTTTGCTAAAATAATTAGGAATGGCTTCAAGAGCATCCCCAAAGCAGCTCTCAGAAGCAGCAGGGAAGGGAGGGGAAGCTCCAGCCTCTGCCAGGTCAAAAGCCTTAGCATCTGCCAGGCGCTTCCTCCCAGCGTCCCTGGGTGTGCTGGTACTGGAGAGCTGCCAGAACGGCCTCTTCCCAAAGGCACAGCTCTGTGTGACAAGGAGGGCGAGAATGGATGCCCCCCATGCATCTGGGTGGGAAGAAGAGGAGGAAGGGACGGGGAGTTGGTGAGCATCATCGCCACCCTGAGCAATGACCTCTAAGTGCTGTAGGAATGACCTTCTCCCCTTAAAGGGATGCCCGTCACACAGCCGATGGAAAAATATGGGAGCCATTAGGACATCATGAAGATGGGGCAAAGGGTCTTGCAGTGAGGGGTAGGTGAAAGGAGCTCGCTGGGTCTGCGGAGGCCAGCTCTGCCTGCCAGTCAGGGGATCTGATTACCAGGAAGACGTGTGGGAGCAGGGATATTACCCATTTTTGACCACAGCCCTTCCCCTTACAGGCTCATGCCTAAAATCCCAGCACTTTGGGAGGTCAAGGTGGGCAGATCACTTGAGGTCAGGAGTTCGAGACCACCCTGGCCAATGTGGTAAAACCCCATCTCTACTAAAAATACAAAAATTAACCCGGCACGGTGGCAGGTGCCTGTAATCCCAGCTACTCGGGACGCTGAGGCAGGAGAATTGCTTGAACTCAGAAGGTGGAGGTTGCAGTGAGCTGAGACAGCACCATTGCACTCCAGCCTGGGCAGCAGAGTGAGACTCCGTCTCAAAAAAATAAAAAAAATAAGAAATAAAGAGAAGTGACCATCCTGTCCCATCTTTGCTGTAAGATGCCACCTCTCTCCCATCCCTCCTCCTGACAAATGGTTCTGCTTTTGCTTGCATACTTATGATGAGGAGGAGCTCCCTATATCTCGAGGCAGCTTATTCCTTCTTAGACAGCTCTGACAAGACAGTGTGAAAAGTGTGAAAACAGAGGTTGACGTGGGAGATCGGGAACCAGAGGAGGGGGCTCACTTAGTTCTGTCTTCCTCTGCTGGACTGTGGGCAACTTGACCACAGGGAGTGGGTATCATTAATATTTACATCTTCAGCCATGGGCACAGTGTTTGGTACACAGTACACACTTACTATACATGTGCAGATGGGAGTAGGCAGAGCGGAGAGAGAGGACGGAAAAAAAATCAGAGAAGGGAGGACGGAAGAAAATTCACACTTGGCTGATTGCAGTGGCTCACGCCTGTAATCCCAGCACTTTGGGAGGCTGAGAAGGAGAATCGCTTGAGGCCAGGAGTTTGAAACCAACCTGGGCAATGTAACAAGTCCCCCGTCTCATAAATAAATAAATAAGTAAAATTACTACTTCCTCATATTGGTCTAAAACTTGCTTTCCTGTTGCTTGTACCCACTGGCCTTTGCTCTGTGCTTTACCTCATAGAGAGCGGATACAATCTCTCCTCCTGACAGCCCTTCCAGATATTGAAGGTGACAATTGCACTATGGCCCCCAAAAACATGTTCCAGGCTAAGGATCTTTAGGCCCTTGATTCTTTCCCTATACCTGAATTCTGCCAGTTCCCAGGCTGGTCAGGGGAAGCACAGGAACAACAGCAGTGATAATAGCCCACAACCCCCACCCAGACAGCGTGAGCTCGTGGAATCCTCACTGCTCACAACTCCATGCCAGACAGCGTGAGCTCACGGAATCTTCACTGTTGTCAGATTCCATCATTGCCGGCGTATTACAGATGAGAGAACGAGGCACAGAGAGGGTGAACGGGTGTCCTGGGTCACAAAGTGAGGGAGTGTCGGAGCAGGATTTGAGTCCAGGCAGCTGGGCATGGGGATGGGTGGGCAGGAGCTGCTTCCAGCCACAGGCACTGGGCTTGTTCCTTCCACCATATCTTAAGGCTTCTGATACCCTGATACCCTGGGGTGACCTGGAAACCCTCATTTAGAAGGTAAGGAACTGGAGCTTCTGAGGCTAAAGAACTTCCCAAAGCTCAAAGATAGTGCTTCCTGGCAGACCTGGGGCCTCTGCCCTCCTTGCCTAGGTCAGGACCTGGATCCCACCCAAGCCGCTGACCAGCGGTTCCTGCAGGGCTGACGACACAGGCTGTTCACATGCACACGCTTTGGCTCACCCTGCAAGGTTCGATTCAGTGTGTCCGGGGTAGAGTGCAGCGCCCAGGCATCCGTATTTTTCAAAATTATTTTGAAAAATACGGATGCCTGGGCGCTGCACTCTACCCCGGACACACTCAATAGTTCTGTGTGCTGTCAGATTGAGCATCCATCTAATCAGAGTAGGGAAGCCTATGATGCTAACTCTTGGGTGTTTGTCCAGTCTTTGCTGAGAAACCTCCGAGGACAGGGAACTTGCTACTCTCAGATTGTCCAGCTCATCCCTGATGGTCGCCTTCCACTGAACTCACACAGTAGCTGTTCTCCTTCTACCCAGGATCCTTCTCCCTCTGCTCTACCCTGCTCCCTCCCGCAGGAAGCTGACCTCTACGGCTTCTGGTTGGGTTCCACCAATGGGGGACCTGGGTCAGACTCTGGAATGTCTGCTCAGTGGGTCTGTCCCCACATTCTTTTGGGACAGCGGTTCTGAGCATGACAGTGCTCTTCTCCCTGTGGCCACTGCTCCTCTCTGGCACCCTCATTCATGACTGTGCTTCTCACCACGTTCTAGAAACCACGCTCTCCCGTGATCTCCTCAGATCTGGCTGGCAGTGACTTCCACCACTGCTGGTCCCTGGGGACATCAGCAGCTTCTGCTGGTGCCCTCACTGTGCCCACATCTTTGCCCACAGTCGCTCTTGTGAAAGGTGGAGTGTCCATTCCCGGCAGTAAACTAGAGGAAGTCTACTGCATCGTCCCCAGGCAGCTCCCCAGGGATTTCAGGACAGTCGCTGTGCACCTGGAGAATGCTTCTTCCCACTGGAGCCGCCTCCAGCATCTCCATCATCTCCCTGCTTTTTCTCTTATTGCTGGGAGACCGTAGGAGAGGCCCAAGGCATTCTCTGCTTCCAGACAACTCAAGACCCACCATGCTGACTGGAGCCCCAGTCTAGAAGATGAACATAATATCAGTACATTAAAAACCCTAGTACTCAGAAAGCACTCGTCAATTTCACATTTTGAATGAGTTCCCCAAAGAACTAAAGCTTTATATTGCATGTTAGCCTTGCAGAAACCTGAAAAACGGGTGTAAACAAATTCGTCTTTCATAGTGCCTTTCCTAGCGCTGACCCTGGAGGCCCTGGTCCCGAGGTTATAACAACAAGCTCCAGAGAGCACCAACTGAGCCTGGCACTGGGCCGAGTGGCTGATACCTCATCATTTCGTTTCATCCTTGGGATGACTCTGAGGAAGGTAGACTCATGGCCCCATCCTGCAGAAGAGGAAACGCAAGCCCAGAGAGTCTCAGGAACGCGCCCAATGCTGCACAGCCTCGAGGTGCAGAGCTGGGGTTTTTGTCCCAGGCAGGCGGTCAGGTGCTAGGTTCCAGAATCTCCCTGCAGTGCAGCAGCTGCACGTGCGCAGGTGAACCCAGTTCCTTCCATTTCTCAGCTCTGCCGTTCTCAGTGGGGGCTTCCATTCTCACAGTGGCCACAGCAGTTCCAGCCACTGTGTCTATGGTCCAAGCAGGCAAAAGGAGAATGGCCAGGTGCAAAGCTCCTCTGTCAGTTGAGACAGTCCCATTTAAAGAGCTTTACCAGAGGCTCCACCTTGTAACTTCTCACTGAAGGCCATTAGACGAGACAGGAACAGAGCCCAACACAAACTGTTTCTGACCGTGTTAGTCTGGGTCTTCCCCAGAACAGGGCTTCAGACGCAGGCTTGGCTGCAGGTAGAATATACATGAGGGAGCAGAGAGAATGAGACTGAGAAAGGAGAAAAAGCAACCACGTGTGTGTTATTGCCTGGGAGCACCTAGGGCTCAGTCTCTCCTGCATTCCCCAAAAAGGATGCCTCCAAAATTGCCTCCCCGGAGGTGGTGGCTGGACCTTGTGCACTGACACCATCCCCACTAGTTGGAGGTTGCCCTGCACTTCATGTCACTCTGATCCAGCCAAGCAAGCTGGTAGAGGGCCCCTTCTTCCCTCCCTGAGGGACTATGTTCTGGTGGCCTTGACCTCAGGTGGCAGTCACACATTCACTGCTATCTCTGGGTGTGAAGCATCAAGGGCCATCCCAGTGAGTCCCCTGAATTCCAGACATGCTTATCCCTTCCACATCATGTGGGGCCAACCCTACCATCTTGTGGTTATCCGGGTTGAGGGTCCTCTCTACTGTAGGAACTCTTCTCTCTGTCTGCTGGCCCGCCAGCATGAGGCCCCGAGGTGGTCAGGCAGCAGGCACAGTGTTACATTAAGGGTAAACTTTACCTGTGTCCTGGTGGGACCATTTTGTTCTGGGAACCAGGACATTGAACCCAGCATATACTAGAGCTGCAGGGACGGGAAGCCAATTCCTTTGAGGAAGTCACCAGCAGTGATGGCGAGAGGACCAATCCTGCTTCCACCTCCTGTTCCTAGAAGTGTGTACTCCAACTACCAGCTCCGAGTCCTGCACACTGACATGGGCTCACTGCAGCCTCTAATACAGAGCCCTGGCCTGCTGTTGGCTGAGCCTCCATCTCGGCTGAGCCTGCTGCCTCTGGGTGATGTGGCGTCGCGAGGAACAGTAGATCCCACGTCCTGCATGCATGATTGTACCGCCTTGGCCCGTGCACCTATCTGGTTCTGTGTGGTGCACAAACAAGCTGCCCCCATAGAGCCATTCCCAAACTGCACATAAAAGAGCAAAATAAATGTTGTTTTAAGTCAGAGGTCAGCAAATTTATTCTGTGAAGGACAGGGTAGTACATATGTTAGACTTTGCAGGATATACAGTTTCTGTCACAGCCACTCAACTTGCCACTGTGGCATGAAAGCAGCCTTAACACATGGGCATGGTTGTGTTCCAATAAAACTTTATTGACAAAAACAGTTGGAAGGCCACATCTGGCTCAAGGGCTATAATTTACTGACCACTCTGTTGAGCCACTAAGTTTTGGTGTGGCTTTTTACGCCACAGTCGGTGGCTGGAGCATCTGTGCCTTTCCTTCCTCTACCTCGTCTCCAATCCTCTTGTCATGGCAGTACCTCTCATGTGCTTGTTACTGCTGACCAATGAGGGACCCAATGGTAGAATCCTATCCAGAGTGCTGCTTCCTGGGGCCACTTTTGATACCATCTGTCTTAGTTTGGGTTCCCCAAAGCAAATCCCAAGATAGATTTAGCCACTGGCAGACTCAAGGGTGATCCTGGGAAAAGAAGCAAGGCCAGAGGGTGTGTGCACCATGGATGGAGAAGGTACTGCACAGACCATCACTGAGCTGATGATGTTTGGAGCTGTGGGCATGTTTCACAACTTGTCAGGGCAGGGGCCTGGGCTGAGGCTGGGGCTGGGACGTAGATGCATACCCTCCAGTGGGTGAAAGTGGCTGCAGGGATGTGAACTCCCCCATACTCTGCACATCCCTGGGTGAGCAGCTGTGTCTCTGGACACACCCTGGGGTCAGACAAACTGAAAGATGTGGCTGGCATAGGAAGTGGGATGCTGCCAGGAGACACTCAGCCCAGCCACAGCTGAAACCCTAGGTGGGCCGCGAGGAGGGGTGGAGAACACAAAAAGCATTCCCATCAGCAGTGGTTCTCTTCTCAAACTTCAGCTGCATCAGAATCACCCTGAGGCTTGTTATAATGCAGATTCCGGGGCCCCACCCCAGGGTTTCAGATTGATTTGGTCTGAGCAGGGGCCTGAGAATTTGCATTTCTGATAAGCTTCCATGCCTTGCTGCTGCTGCTGGTCCGGGGTCAATATTTGGAGAACCACTGGATAGAGACAGTCGATGCTGGGTAGGCAGCTGCTGGTCTCTCTCATACTTACCAAATGGGCTATCCTTTGTGCCTGCTAAGGGTGTGAGTCTCTGTGTGTGTGCGTGCGCATGTGAGAGAAAGAGAGAGAGAGGGAGAAAGGGAAGGGTACTAATATAGCCCAGTGTGTCTATTACTAACTGTAAGTGTGATATTGCTAAAGTCTCCTTTCCTCCAGGCATCCAAGTTTCCCTACCTGTAAACTGAGGCTGGGCTGCAGATGGCCCAGGGCTCTTTCAGCTCTGATTTGATGATTATTTACAAATCGAAAGGGCTCAAAACCAGGCTTCACAGTACACTGAGATTCAAATGCACCTCCCTTTCCAACTTTTGCAATGGAATTATCTCCCAGAAATGTTTAAAAGTGCTTAGGGGATAAAAAGAGAAAAGAAATGGAATGAACTGGCCAGTGAAGGGAAGTTCCCAGCAGGCTTTTCTATAGACAAGTGCTATGCATTCCCACAGGGAGCTGCCACTCTCGAAACGCTGGCAGGGGAGGGCAAGGCTGGGGATCTGCTCAAAAATAAATGAGGTCAGAGACTCTCAGGGCTGAAAGGCACTCCCGGGGCTCAGCCCCACAGGTTGGCTTCCAGTCCTCTCAAAACAGAAATTCAGCAAGGCCAAACACCCTGTGCCCCTCTACAGTGGCTCACCTGGGTGTTTTGCAGAAACGTGGGCATAGAACCCACACAGACTTCCCTTTGGGTCCTGCCTCCCACTCTCAGTGCCGGGTGGCCATGGACAAGCCACTTGGATCTGCCGGACTCGGGACCCTGTGCATGCATAACAGTAATGGTAACGGAACCTCATGTGGAATTCACTCAAGAAGCGTTTGTGGCACACCTGAGTTCCTAGGATTTTAGGGAGGATTCCATAAAATAACATGGTGGGATTATTGTAACAAGAATTACTTTGTCAGCAGTAACATAGTCTACGATATCTACCATTACCAATTTTTATTACTGTTGATTTTCTACTCTAAATCTGCTACGGATTTCCCTGGAGCTGTTCGGTTAGGTTTATCTCCACCGTGGTGTGGGAGGGACCTTGCTGTGTAACCTCGAGCAGGTCGCCTCACATTTTTGAGCTCGTCTTTTTCATGAGTCACAGGGTGGCTAATTACGTTTATTTGCAAGATTGATGTGAGAACAAAACGCGAAAGCTGCTCATATGAGGACATTTAACGCATCCTCCGGCCCCCAGCTGCTCATGTGAGGACATTTAACGCATCCTCCGGCCCCCAGCTGCTCACGTGAGGACATTTAATGCATCCTCCGGCCCCCAGCAGAGAAGAAGTGCAGACGGCAGGATGGCTGTGTGTGCCGCAGGCCTCCCCGCCTATGTAGGCATTAAATTTGTTTTTTCTTTCTTAGATAAAACTTGTTCAGCCCTGACTATAAGCCAGGCACTAGGCTGAGAGCTTTCCTTGAATTATTTCACTTGACCCTGATTAGTTTATGGGTTAAGTATAATCATTATCATCCTCTTTACGCTTATGAGGAAGCCAAGAACCCAGAGCTGGCAAGTGCGGGTCGAGGCAGATTCACACTCAAGTCCTGCAACCCCCCAGGCTTGTTGTGCACTGGGGACCTGCTCCAGGGACCCCAGACCACAGGCCCAGCTGTGTGCTCAGGGCAGAACGGAATGGATGGACTTGCCTCTTCTCGAACGAGGCTGTTTCTCCTGCCCCGTTTCTCTCCGCAGCCGCTGCTCTGTCCCCAGGTTGTGAAGATGCATGGACTTGATTAGGCTGGGCTCAAGCCCTGTTTATCATCATCTGCACACCTTTCAGAAGGCCCCTTGCGTTTTAAGAAGAGCGAACTTGGTGTCATGCAGCATTGTTCTGATTAGAGAGAACAAGCATGGCTGTAGAATCGATCCAGGAGTCGGGAGTCCGGCTGCTTTCAGAAGCTTCCAGGGCAGGGCATCAGAGGACAGGACAGCCAGTCTGGAATGATGAAGGATGACCCAGCCTGCGGCTCTGAGCTGAGGGGAGTCTTCAGGGTCTGAAGATTCTTGTCAATCCAATGAGATACTGACTGCAGAGCTCCCTCCCCAGGTGGCATCTGTTTATGGTGTCATCTCAGAGTGTCAGGAGCAAGGATTCTGAATACGAGTGACTGTGGAAGAATCCTGGATTTCTCCTAGACTAGCAGCCATCCATCCATCTGTGCTAGTGAGATTACGGTCAGGCAT